TCTCCTCCTTAACCCCCCCGGGCAGTGCCACCGACTGAAGTGTCTTTAGGCCATTCCCAATTGGGTGAGGATATTAACATGTTCTTATACCCAGTGGAATTGTAAATAGGCTGATTTATCAATGTCATGCTCTTACTGTGATGGGACAACATAGGGGGAACTGGTGATTTTTCTTTCCTTATCCTTACTCGTAATTTTTTCCTCTACTTCTTTTGTATGTTTGTCACTCTCTTGTGAACTGCTATTTCCGAGGTGCCTTGATAGTCGAAACAGACTCTGTGCTGTTGAGGCTAGAGAGGTGAACAGAGTAATCCTGATTCCCCGTTTGGATTTCTCTGTTGACATCCACCCCTTGGAGCTCATATGATCGTATGCAGTTGCGAGCCTCGTAAAACCTTACTAAAACAAATAAATCTCTCCTCCTTTTTGTTATCATCTTACTTTCTTTCTAGTAATACCGCTAGTTTTTCGTACATATATATGGCCTTTTTATGGAGCCCGTGCCATGAGTGGGTGCTCTGGTGGGGTTTGCTTCTTCTTTCCTTTCAAACATCTATCATCTTTATCTCCCCTCCTTCTTTTTTGACTTTGTTACTCTCTTGTAACACCTCTATTCTTTGGCACTCATATGACCTAATTGTGTTGCAAGTGCCGTAAAACACTGACGAAAACTCAAACTAAGTGCCGTGAAACTCTTAAAACTAAACTTCTTTATCTAACGGTATGTTTATTTGTAATTGTCATGAGAGGATTTGGCACCTTACTGGTTTTTGTGTAGTGGCTAGGCGCTTGGCCGTCGCACACGTTGAGACCCGAGTTTGACTCACGAGTGTTGGCAATTTTTATCGAGTATCTTGGTCTTTCTGTTTGGATGTTGTTTCCTTCTCATCCGAGGTAGGGTCTAAACCTGCTTCATAAATACTCCACATTGCATTGATGGGTGCGTAAAGACACCTAGATTTCTACATGTTAAACAAAAAAGAACTTAAAATAATAAATTGCTGTGCTACGAACTCACGTGAAAGTAACAAGCGCGCTCATCATATTATGACCTTAGTCACCGTAAAACTTTTATCAAACGAAACTTTAAAACTTCATTGAGCCATGTAATTCTCTTTGATTCAATCTGTACGGCGTCTTAAGGCTTGCTAAAAAAAATGAAAAGAAGGGGGGAAAAGGGGGGGGGGGGATGCTACAGAATGACATTTCCACAAAAAAAAAAAAACCCAAAAAACAAACAAACAAAAAAACCCCATACGATTCACAGTCATAATATGAAGTATAATGAATCTGCATCATGTGTATATTTAGTATTGCGTCTCTTTCTTCCTGCTTTGGATTGGTTCGAAATCAGTCGTACTTGCTCGAACTGCCACTTTCTAAGACAATCACTAAGTTGGAACGACCCTTACCCCCCTTTTTTGTATTATTTCTACAGCACCTTTTACTAGCACTTTTCAATACGTCCTTCCGTCTAAGTCAACCACTTTTCTCCTTGGAAATGTGTTATAATGTAACCTATATAGAACTTATAATATTGAAAGGGGCGTTGAACTCTTACGCATACCTTTTCCTCGAAAAATGGGTAGCTGTCTTGTACCGTTGCGACTGAATTTCAGCCAGAGTAATCTATAATCAGTTTTACAGCGGTCGCTTCATTAAAACGCCCCCAGGATATGCTGTTTATTAAGTTGTGAAAAGTCGCGGAGCTGAAATTCCTCCTGTATATATTATAAAGAATAAAGAGCCACCGAGGCAAGCGCTATAAAATTCAAAGGAGTTGGCCTGCATTTACTCCACCGGTGTTGCAAAGTAGGATCATGCGATTCGTGAATAGAAAAATAAGGGGGAGGTGGGGCCGAGAGAGAGAAAGAGAGAGAGATAGAGAGAGAGAGAGAGAG